AAGCTCCCCTTAGGGAAATAGCATGGGCTGGGTTCACACTAAGTAATTGATCACTGTCATGGTTGCGGTTACACAGTGATGAATTGCCCAAAGGAAAGAAAAAACTTGAACCCAGTTTTGAGGGAAACGTTGTCGTAAACATTGAAGGTTCACATAATCGTATTAATAAAACCCGCTCCACATCAATTAAGCTTAGCGAGAGCGATTAAGTCTTTAATTTTAAGACTAAAAAGGAAGACGTTGACTTTATTTTTCCCAAACAATGGCAAATTCTTGCTCAGAAGTCAAAAGTACGGGTTTACAAAAATGTTCGCAACGACTTCAAAAGGAAATAATTCTTGACCACATGTGAAGAAAACGTAGGAGTGTTTCAAGGTGCTTTTGAACCTATTAGGTGTAAAATACAGAAAACATTCACAGAAGGGCTCGAAAATTGAGTCTAGTTTCGCGCTAGATTTGGCGCCAAGCGACGAAATCAGCACGTAAACAACACGTGATTTCTACTGATTTGGTACGTTTCAATCTCTCCTGATTGGTTGAGCCGCTTTAGGTTCTTATTAACCAATAGCACTTACTTCGGGAACAGTCATGGGTAATTCTTTTGTTCGGATTGATGTATCCATGGAAATTTCCTCGAGGCAATTTCACCCTGGGAAAATCGGTCAGACTCAAAAAGTTGCTTCCCCGTGGGTAAGAGACATTTGCCCTTGGGTAAAATGGGTAATGTAGCCGCACCTATTTTAGGTCGCATAAAAAGGATATGTAATGGTCAACTTTTGACTTGCCTTATATCTTGTGCATTAGAAGTTGAACTACTCGTTCCTTTCACAAACAAAAGAGCTCATTGGCATAGAGGCAAACACAATGTTGGACAAAAGCGGCAGAAGGCTAAGAAAGGTTCCGATGCAGATAGTGATGTGTCTTCTGAGGGAGATGGCAACCTGTATTCACGGGAAGAAGATCACATATTTGACAACTTTGCATCTTTGGATGGTGAGATAGTTTGACCTTTTAATCCCCAATATCTGTCTTTGCCTGCTGCTGTTACTGCGATCTAGCCTGTTTTTTTAGCCACCCCTTCCCTCAAGCGTTATGGAGCTTAAGCAAAGACGTTTTTGAGCAACGCACGTCAACCGGAGGTAAAGTCTTTTCTCTTTTAATATGCCTTGATTCTTATAACAAATTTGTATCGCTAAGTTTCTTTAATCTTGTAGAGACGATCTGCCCGAAAATTTGGCCGCAACCACTGCCCGAGAACGGCAAAAAGTTCACTTCCGGTTGATGTGCGTCACTCAAAAACGCCTTTGCTTAAGCTCCCTAAGTTGTTTGAAGGGAGTGGTTAGCTATACACAGGCTACCGTTTCCCAGTTGCATCACCTTGCCTGTCGTTTTTTTCTGCCTCAACTGTGCTTCTTCAGTTCTCTTTTTGCTCTCNGTAAGAGACATTTGCCCTTGGGTAAAATGGGTAATGTAGCCGCACCTATTTTAGGTCGCATAAAAAGGATATGTAATGGTCAACTTTTGACTTGCCTTATATCTTGTGCATTAGAAGTTGAACTACTCGTTCCTTTCACAAACAAAAGAGCTCATTGGCATAGAGGCAAACACAATGTTGGACAAAAGCGGCAGAAGGCTAAGAAAGGTTCCGATGCAGATAGTGATGTGTCTTCTGAGGGAGATGGCAACCTGTATTCACGGGAAGAAGATCACATATTTGACAACTTTGCATCTTTGGATGGTGAGATAGTTTGATCTTTTAATCCCCAATATCTGTCTTTGCCTGCTGCTGTTACTGCGATCTAGCCTGTTTTTTTAGCCACCCCTCCCCTCAAGCGTTATGGAGCTTAAGCAAAGACGTTTTTGAGCAACGCACGTCAACCGGAGGTAAAGTCTTTTCTCTTTTAATATGCCTTGATTCCTATAACAAATTTGTATCGCTAAGTTTCTTTAATCTTGTAGAGACGATCTGCCCGAAAATTTGGCCGCAACCACTGCCCGAGAACGGCAAAAAGTTCACTTCCGGTTGATGTGCGTCACTCAAAAACGCCTTTCCTTAAGCTCCCTAATTTGTTTAAAGGGAGTGGTTAGCTATACACAGGCTACTCTGCCCAAGTTGCATCACCTTGTCTGTCGTTTTTTTCTGCCTCTACTGTGCTTCTTCAGTTCTCTTTTTGCCCTCTCTTCTTTTCTGTCCGTTGGTTTCTTCTCTTCTCTTCTTCCCGTTGGGTAAGAGCTTAAGTTATACTAGCCAAACGAGAAGCGGGAAATATTAAAGTTAAGTAACATCTGCTATAAAGGATACTACCTCATAATGGGCCCTTAATCATTTACTGCAGCTGCTCCAAAGATATGGAACGTCTTACCGGACTACATTAGGAAAGGGAAGAATTTCGATTGGTTTTTTTGCTATTTTATTGAAGCGTACGGCGACTTGGTTGAGTTATCAGAGGTTCTTTCACTTTCAACTTTTATTTCCTTTTTTCTTTATGTTTTGCTCGTTTTTAGTAATGCTAAATTATTGATGTAGCAATTGAAAGTGTCAATAATTTCAGTCATTAGAGCGGGTAGTATAATATAGGCTATGTAAGTCTCATTTTTGTGTATGCACATTTCATCAGATCACTATGTTAAAATGTTCTGTAGAAGTATTAAATATTATTATTATTATTATTATAATTATTACTTGTGTAATGTAGTCTTGAATTGTTCACTTGTATGCTCTATATGGGAGTATGTCACTGCTTTCTTTGCAAGGTTACAATTCACCACATTACCTCTTTGATGCTCTGAGCATCATCATCATCATCATAATCATCATCTTCATCATCATCATCATCATCATCATCATCATCATCATCGCTATCCTGAGCATCATCATCATCATCATCATCATCATCATCATCAGTATTATCATAATCATTTCATAAGGATCACGGTAATACTAAATGTTATGAGCCAAAATGTACGTTTCTGAGTAAAACCTCAATTTTCTAAATTGGGTCACTTGACATTGAGCGTGCCCTGGTGACGTCACAGCCAGATTTGGCATCAAACTGTCCAAATTTTGTCAGATATAAGTACGCGCATTTTTTTAAGTTTCAGCTTAAAGACTTTTCCCTAGCACCTGTTTCAAAATTCAAGAGACAATACTGAACTCCCTTAAAACCAACATTATAAAGACAATTATGATCTCTTGCTTAAATCTAGTCTCTTTCTCTTCTTTCTTTAAATCCTCGGGGTTGAAAATATAGATAAGACAAGTGCTTCCCTTGCCCCTTAATAGATCATTACGCCCTCAAGCGGTGTTAAGCGCGTTATGAGATACAAGGGCAACAAATATTGGGTAGTTTTGGCTTCTATATGATGCCTTTTTTGTTGTTGTAAAGGTGCCAAGAAGAGAAAGAAAAAGTCTGAAAGTTGCTGTCCACTTTGTAGATGTCAATAACCAATATTCACGTTCATTTTTGTAATTAGGAAAATTAGTGTTATGGTAGCCTTTTACTGTACTATAATTTTTACTGTTTTAAGTAAAAAATTGGTCAGGT